CACAAAATGTAGTTAAACGATAACCAATCGATGAATATAAATAATTTAATCCTATTTATTACATGTAGTTACCCTATAATTAACTATTACTGAGAAAATATTTCATTAAATCTAATGAATTAATTTAATTTAAAATAATTTGTAAATTACTTTTTAATTGACATTTAAATATTGCGCTCAAATGATGATGTAAGGCTGTATTAGAGCCAATAATATTCAACAAACTATAAAGTAAAATCATTACTACAATATTTTATAGTTTTTAAACGGGTCTACAACATTTGCTCGAAAACTTTAATTTAAATTATAAAATTAACTTGTTAAACCTAACCTAACCTAACCTAACTAACCAAAACTAACTCATATACTCATATTTAATAATATTTACTAATATAATGTATTTAAAGCAAATTAAATGAAAAATTTTCGAGCAAATGTCGTTCAAACAAATGTTTTTGAGCGAATGTCTGCGTCCCTTTTTAAACAATTGATCCATAATTAATACTAAAAATAAACATTATGATTATAAAAAACATCGAGGAGGCATTAGCAATAGTCCCATAGACTAACATTACCCATGTTAAAGTATAGCGATATACTTAAGCATTAATTCCATGTTAAATTCCATAAAGCGGGGGAGGGGAAGGGGGCTAACGAGTCTATTAACCACATTATCCATAGCTGAATTGTGATTGAAAAGGCATAAGCACTCAAATAAATGATTATTTCCATTGTTATTAAATTTTCATACACTTTATACAAAAATGTAAAAATGTACCTAGTTAATTCTGTATTTACCATTTGCTCATTCGCCGCGGTGATTCTCTGTTGGTCGACACGTGTCTCGCATTAATCGGTTATAAAACAGAATTAATTCGCGAAACAAATTTCACGAACACATGAGGGAAGAGAAGGAGGCACGTGATCGCGAGGCCCGGGCAGACGCGGCACTGACTCCCGCCCAACGATTGGCAAAAGAGCCAAAACCGTTGTCATCCGAAAAGATAGTTCATTATCACAACCTATTGTGCAAACAAAAGACATGTAATGGGGGCGAAGAGTGCGACGTGAGAGAGACTGGCGAATGGGGTTGTATGTCGTAAGTTTGGACAGTCATGTTGTTTTGTTAAATTGTTATTTATATCATCATTCATTTAATAATTATGTTTTTACCATGTATGATTAATTAGGAACAAAAGCGACTATTATTTGAGCGGAATAGTGGATAAGTTAAACTTTTAGAATGGCTCGTTAAACACATTTTTTAATAAACAACCTTAAATTGCTGTAAAATAATAAGCAATAAACTGATAAAGTGTGTGGTGTGTACTTTATTTGTTTAAATAAACTTTTTAATTAAACTCGTTTAGTTATATTTTTAATTCTGTATTTTAATTTAATGTTTATGAAGTTAATTATGTGTTTTATGCTTATTATATGCAAACATAAACTTGCCTGGTTAGTTTTTAATACTGTTATACAAACAAAACTATGTTAATGAATAATTATAGCAAAGTGGTAAAAAATATCCTAAAATATTAATATGGTCATTTATGTTAATACAATAATGTTTAATTAAATTAAAATTACTTAATTACCTAATTCAATTAGATCATAAATTTATTAACCATATGGATACTTAAATAGTGTAATTCTCTCTCTCTCTCTCTCTCTCTCTCTCTCTCTCTCTCATCTCTTATTCTCTCAGTATTTTCATTTAAAAACTCGGAAAAACATTAAATATTTTATATAACTTTTGTAATGAATTTTGTGTGAATTCAACTGTTTTTTCCAACTCTATATTTTGGAAGCAAAAAAAATATTTTTGCAATTTTATAGTTTTGTAGTGAAAATATCAAAAAATGTTTCGCTTATGGCACACATGAGCAGCGCATCCATCCTTCAAATACCGCCTCAAAATGGTTTGATATTAAGTTATGATTATAGTTATGGTTAATACTTAAGCACATGCTTATGGAGAGCGATTGCACGGCGCATACCAGTGCTCTGACAGTGCTCTGAGTGGTCGAGTTATGATATGATATCACTTCTCAACCACTTCTTCAATATTTGTTAAGTAATGTTATTCTCAAATGTATTTATTTTGCAAACGTTTTCTCCAATATTGACTCAAAACTGCATTTCATATCAAATCATTTTGATTGTTGACTATGTTTTGCCGGAAAGTGTTATTTCAGGCTTTAATATAAACATATGAAACGCAAAGTGAATGTAATATTGATATTATATTTAGAGTAAACGACTATTGCATGCTTTAAACGGCATTCAAATATATCTTTGTTTCTATTTTCTGATTTATTTTCACAGCATTTGAGCGTATTTTTCATTTTAATTGATTTTTCTAAAACTAATAATCATTTATAACATTATATTTTTACGTGTAATCCCAGTGTTTTGAATATAAGCAAAATTATTCATTTGAGTCAAACAAATGCAAACACATTATTAATGAGATTTTGAGCGAATACTATATATATATTAAGTTGTAATCCCTTATCGGTTGGAAATTTGTTTGATTTTTATAACAGAATCAGACATAAAATGAAATGAAATTATTTTAATAAAATAAACTTAATTTTGAAAGTGATATAAAAGTATTAGTTTTGACTTTTGTGATGGTTTTTAAAATAAACTTTACATAAGATTTGGTTTAATTGATTAATTAATCAAATAAAACATGACATACAGTGTGTATAGTATTATGAATCTAAACAAAGCCATTATATTCTCAATACATTTAATACAGAATATAATATGAGAGTCGAGTAGTCGTGCGCTTCCACTCCAATAACATGAATGCCTTTTAATTAGATTTGTTGTCAAATTCCGGTTAACTATAACTCGTATTATGTATTATATGTACACAAATATTATATCAAATCAACTGTTTTCCAAGATATGATTTAAACATAATTTTGTGCCAGTTTTCGATATTTGCCGCACGATTTCAATCCATAAATTAATTTCAGATAAAAGCAGAGAATATTCTGTACAGAAAAGGGTCACAAATAGAGTACAGAGCAGTAGTAATGCTGTATTGAAATCATTGATATTGTTGTGTGAGAGAGGACTGAGCGGCAAATGGATGTATATATGTATTATGGATATTGAGAAAAGCTTTCAAACGATAATATTATATATGAATGAGTGCTAGCATTAGGAAAAATATATAAATGTAAGCAAAAGTTTTGCATCCATAACATCCATAACCTAATAGACTATCACTATATGTGAGTGCATATCAGGGCTGACCTCAGACTCGCCATTCAAATGGTAGTTCACTTGTGCTCAAGCATTGCGTACTGGATGTAAGTGTATATACTTTTGCACTTTAGCTCAATCTGTCTGATGGATTGGCGTACGGGGAAAACGTGGCTCCAAATCCGCTCTAATCGCTCCTTTAGGTCCGATTCGTTCATCATTCTATCACAGCTTCCATACATCCATTCCATCCAATGCTATACCAAAAACTCCAATTCCTAATGCAATACACATAACATATAACACAATTTATTACTCAATCTCCAAAATGCAATATTACTTATTCTATGCCTTCTCTCCCATATTTCTAATCATATCTCAAATTTTCAATTATATGACCGAGAATTGAATGCTGGGGTTAACTCTAACCCAGTGCTTACTGTACAAACATTTGTTGGTTTTTGTTTGAAACACAATTTTCCCATCTATTCATAATTGCATTCAGAATTAATTAAATATGAATTTTATTAATAGCAGTGTATTTAATCAAATTGTGTTTTTCTATACTTAGGTATAAAATCAGTTGTGGTCAACAATGAGGGGGAAATTGAGGCCCCAATCGATGCACACATTTGTGGTAATTGTAAGCAAGAATTCTTGGGTCTCTCGCTATTCCTCTCTCATAAGAAGGAATGCATTCGAAAGCCTGAGAAGACTGAACTCACTCTACCATTACTTCCACAACAAAAACAATCTTCTATTAAAGATAACGAAGAGGTGGAAGACATGGAAGTGATGGAAGAGTTAGGGAAAGAAGACGAGAAAGAAGATGACGAGCCGTCTGACGATGAAGACGAAGAGGAAGAGATGGACACGAAGTACTCACAAATCTATAACACAATTAGTGACGAAAAGAGTGAAAGCGAACAGAGAGTCGTTGAATCAGATAACGATTCCGCAGAGAATAGACTCAAACAAATGGCTTCTAGTGGTGGCAGCGGTTGGCCTCTCATCGGACCATCACTTTCGTTGTCTGACACTAATGTAGTGATAGAGTCGTTGCAAAACACATCAGTAGCGGTGGCACAACACCCGCCGCCATCACCCGATCTCTTACCTCAAGTGCCCTCAACGGCACTCCAATCGACACTATTTAATCTACAACAGCAACAGATGATGTTATTTCATGTCATCCATCAGTTGCAGTCACAGATCGCCACCAATGGGGGCACATCTCCACAAATTCCTGTACCACTTCTTGTACCTCCACTACAACCCAACACACCCTCCGATGTCTCCACTACTGACAGCGAAAAGTGTCAATCAAAGAGCACAACAGCTGACAAATCATCTAATTCTTCGTCATTTCCGCAAACATCCACTCCAAAGACCCCCGCAGTGAAGACCCCTCCGCTCTCCACCGCATCAGTTATAACACCAAACCTCACCTCTGGTAAGACAAGTGTGGATCCGAGCGTTACCCCCGACGCCGCCGACAGACCGCTAATACCCGGTTCGCCACTAAACGAGACCTCATCGCCGGCCTCTCCGGAAGAACCAAATACACTGGAACTGCTTCAGAGACACACAGAACAGGCCCTCCAGAACACAATGTCCGGCGGATCGTTTCTATTGAACGGAATCGCAGGAATGGGAAACTCAGACTTCTTGAGCTTTAGGAAAACCAAAGACGGAAAGGAGGACCCGATGTATCGGCACAGGTGTAAGTTCTGCGGCAAAGTGTTTGGCAGCGACTTCTATTGAACGGAATCGCAGGAATGGGAAACTCAGACTTCTTGAGCTTTAGGAAAACCAAAGACGGAAAGGAGGACCCGATGTATCGGCACAGGTGTAAGTTCTGCGGCAAAGTGTTTGGCAGCGACTCTGCCCTCCAGATCCACATCCGTTCGCATACCGGCGAAAGACCCTTCAAATGCAATATATGTGGCAATCGGTTCACTACTAAAGGCATAGATTTTCAAGTAAAGGTTTCTGTGTTTCGCTTCATAGGCGTGTAATTCTACTTAGGTGTGGGGCAAGGGCTTGTAGAGCTGTTTAAAGTGGGGGGCTATCTCGGCGGGTGACCGAGAGTCAGTGGGACTAATTTGACCCCATTATCGACGCCTCCGATCTCAATGTCAGGAATGCCTCATATGTTCTCGCAATCAATTTCATCATTCAATCAATCATTTCTGGATTCCTCTGTCAGCCCTTCCAAAGACATTAAAGGCGTTTTGAACACAAGTCTCGGCGAACGTGTAATAGACAGAGATATTAGCGGACACTCAATGGTCAACATCTCAGACAATGTCTCCAATCAATCCCTGAGCGACGATTCGGATCTCGATTGTGACGACAATGAAATAATGGACGGCAGAGACGTGGAGGATGTGAGCGAAGACGAGCGCGCCATCAGTTTGGAGAAGACAAATGAAAACAATACAAATAAATCGGAAGAATTGCCCCTAAATTTACAGCGAATTCGCAAAGATGTGACCGAAGAGGAAGAATTGAGGATGTGAGCGAAGACGAGCGCGCCATCAGTTTGGAGAAGACAAATGAAAACAATACAAATAAATCGGAAGAATTGCCCCTAAATTTACAGCGAATTCGCAAAGATGTGACCGAAGAGGAAGAATTCAATGAAGACGACGACATGAGCGCCGATGAGTTCGACAAAGAGATGGATGAGTCGGAGAGAAGGGAAATGACGGATAAGGATAAGGAGAACATCAATTCAGACGATGACATTTCGGACGATTCAGAGGACGGTATGCTTTTGCCGCCGGGAATGGAGTTCCCATATATGCATCACTTCCCGCCGTACTTCCATTCGGGTGCGTTTCCCGGTATTCCGACCTCAATGGGTCTGATTCCGTTTGGTTTCCCGCCAGGTATGCCACCCCTTCCCCCCTCAGGCCCTCCCAACCCGGACGGAGGCGAGGGCTCCAATAGGGATCCCGGCTTCTACCAGGACTTACTGCCCAAACCCGGCAGTACTGACAACACGTGGGAAACACTAATGGAAGTACAAAAGGCGTCAGAAACGGTGAAATTGCAACAATTGGTGGATAATATTGAGCACAAGTTAACGGATCCCAATCAGTGCATTATATGCCATCGGGTGCTCAGCTGTAAGAGCGCTCTGCAGATGCACTACAGGACCCATACGGGCGAACGTCCCTTCAAATGCAAGATCTGCGGCCGAGCCTTCACTACCAAAGGCAACCTCAAGACACATATGGGTGTCCATAGAGTCAAACCTCCGCTCCGTATTCTCCATCAGTGCCCGGTTTGTCACAAACAGTTTACTAATGCTTTGGTAATTATTTATGATATGTTTTTAATGCAATTTTTATACATTTTCATTGAATACTGCATTGCTTTTAATCTCATTGTTATAATTTCTGTAAATTCTTATTTTTGCACATTTATTATTTTATTTATTGATTAATAAATATTTTATAATAAATTTAAATCTATTTACTTCATAACAGGTTCTTCAGCAGCACATCCGTATGCATACGGGAGAACCGACTGATATTCCTCCGGAGCACATAATGGCTAATGAGATCAAAGGGCCGTCACTAATGCCCTTTCAAAGGGGACTAATGCCGCCCCACTTTGCCGGTCATCTGCCACATCCCAGCCAACTCTTTGTGCCCCCTTTTATGAACGGTATGACAACCAGCTCTTCGATGAACATTCCTCTCTCGTCACCCATCACTTCATTGGCAACAATGAAACCCAATTCATCGCCCGCTCTGTCGGCCGAACATAAATCAGACAAGAATTCCGGCGACGAATTGGTTGAATGTAAACAAGAGTTGATTTCTCCGTCGATTAGCAATCGGTCGAGTCGTGCGTCGACTCCAGACTCACCCAAAAGTGTCTCAAAACAGGCCAGAAGTCGGTCGCCGTCACCAAAGCCTTTGGCACTATCGCAGACACCGCTCGCAATCCCTCAACCAGTCATAGTCTCGACACCAATCACAACCACTACAACCACAGCCACCCCTAACCCGACCGCCCCGTCGAGTGCGCCCCCAATGACCGCCTCAACCAAATCTAACGATTCCGTGAATTCAAATTTCTCCACCTCTTTGGCTGCTCTGGAAAATCACGTCAAAACCATCAACTCGTCGGTCCCACAGCCCATGCCTTTCGGTCCGTTTGGTCTCGGATTATATAATTTAAGTCAATTCCAGAGAATTGATGCCGAAAACAATGGCCGCCTCCCGACCACTCCCGCAAACGCCGCCGATCTGTCTCTTCACAGAAAATCGGACGACAAGTGTTCGCCAAATATGCGCTCATTCTCTCCCTCTTCGCTCAACAGTAAGATTACTTCGGAAATATCGGCCGACGAGAGGTCAACACCGGACAGCTCTTTGGGAACAATGGACGACAGGTCGTCGCCACCGATGACACCCACCGGCGGTGCATTGGATTTGACGCCAAAGTCTAATAACAATTTCAATCAGTCGTCGGGCTCTCAGGACAACCCAATCGGATCGCAAACACCGAATATGGAGAACCGATTCTTTCCGCCGCCATTCGCTGGCCTACAGTTCCCGACCGGACGGCCGAACACCACGTGTCGGATATGTCTGAAGACATTCGCCTGTTATTCGGCGCTCGAAATCCATTACAGGAGTCATACGAAAGAGCGGCCCTTTAAGTGTGACTATTGTGACCGCGGATTCTCTACCAAAGGCAATATGAAACAGCATATGCTTACGCATAAGATCAGGGATCTGCCCGAAGGCCTCTACACCACCACCACTACCACCTCCACCACCAATAATCACTCATTCATGATGTCCTCTCAGGGATCAAACGCCAGCGACACGAGTCCCGCCGCCAATAACAACGGCAACAATACTCCCAACGCTAACATATCGACCAACTCTAAGGACAGCAGCGGTGCGTCCAATAGCCCGACGCCCAATGGAAACGGCACTAACAGTACGCCCGACAAGAGGCCCGGTTCACCATTGGGTGACCAGAGCTGCTCCTCTAAGCTAAATCCCAAACACGTGTGTCGTGTTTGTCATAAGCCATTCTCAAGCGGATCCGCACTTCAGGTATTCAATCGTTTTGATCCATATTCCTATTGTTCTGATTCTGTAATTAATAAACACTAATTGATTATTGAATTATATATTCAGATACATATGCGGACCCATACGGGTGACAAGCCTTTCAAGTGTACGATATGTGGCCGCGCGTTCACCACGAAAGGCAACCTTAAGGTTAGTTACTTGATGCGAATGAATGGTAATAATATGACATTTATTCATATGAATGTTATCCCCCCATAGGTTCATATGGGAACTCATATGTGGAGCAATGGTTCGTCACGAAGAGGTCGCCGAATGTCTATAGATTTGCCTAATTTGCATATTTCTCCACCAAAATCTCTAGATTTTGGGTCGCGAACCGGGGCTGAGATGTTGATGGCTCACTTCAATTGATAATCTCATCATTAAGTTATTTTCAACCAAATATGATATACATTACAAACAATACATGACAATTGAATTGCTTTATTTGTCAAACAATACAAATCTATAACAAATAACATAAGTTATAATTATGGAGTCATTCAATGCTTATACATTAGATCTAAACCTAAACTTAAAAGTGTTTTAATTTACTTTTTATGAATGAATATTTTAAAGTTTTTGTTCAAACAATTACTCGATTAATGGTTGATATTTTTAAACAAAAAACATTCATTGAAATCTCAATTTTGTTTGTTTTTTATGTATATTATATGATAAGACTAGTCAGACATACAATATTATACATATTTAAGAAACGATATCTATTTTATGTCTCATTTATAATTTAATCCCATTTCTTGTAAATCAATGTTTTCTCAAAAACAAACAAAAAAGTTTTGATCGGTTGTTGGATGTGTTGGGAAAACGTCTATAATTTGATATATAGTTTGGACGACATATCGATTATTTGATGCCGAAAACGGGGATTCAATTTTGAACAATACTTAGCCATAGCTATAAGGGGTCACTGTTTATGCATTACTCATAATAGGAGAGTATTTTTGGCTAAAACTAATCAAATGAGAGGATGGATAGCTATTTCACCACTTATTATACACACAGAGTCTGTATATACACAGCGAAGTCAATTGAATGAACACTTTATGGCCCGCAATGTATGAGCGCTGATATGTCGATAGAGAGAAAGGGAAAGACCAACTCATCAGAGAATTGATAGCAAAAACATCAATGACTTACAGTTAGTCCGATAGTCATATCATAAATACAAATAAATAAGTTTAATGTTTTGATTAACATATGATATTCTGTATATTTTTATGCAATTCTCAATGTATTCGTATATCCGGGTAATTATGAGAATATTAATATAAGACATCGGTTACAGACTGACCAATATATATATATAAATATGAGACAACTATTGGATCAATTGAGACAATTAGTCGGAAACATATCAATGCAAACAAACTGTCAGTTTCTGTCTTTTCTATTCAAACAGACAACTGGTGTCTGAATTATAGTAGCGATCGATAAGTATGTGTTCGCTATTGGGTTTGAAATCCATGTTAAGAGCAAAACATTGACTTCTCATCACATATTTGGCTCCAAATCAGGGCTCGACTCAAAGGAAAACAAAATTTTGTGTTTTTAGTTACCATTGTATTACTTAAACACACAATCAGTTGTGTTGACATGCAATTCAAGAAAATAAAACAAAATATAATTCACAACAATTGGGGGCAAAAATCTAAGCTTTACTTATATATACAGTAAATATATAAATATAAATAGTTTTGAGTAAATATTATGTAAGTTTCAAAACCATGGATGTCAAAAGTGCGATCATTGAGAGTGCAGTTAATCAACAAGGTGATATAATAGCTGTGATACTACAACATTACTGTCACTCTTTATGAGACACTTTTCACATCAATAGCACGTATAGAAGAAAACACACAAACTTTTCAATTGGAAACTAATCTTTTTCTAAGCACTCATACAAATTGAAAGTCAATGCTTTTATTTCAATTATTATCACAAATTGAAATATTCGGACAAAAAATATTTATAATTAACAAAAAACGACATCAAGTTTTCTCTGCCTCTCCTCTCAAACACACAATTCATTCCAGAAAAACAAAACAAACATTTTATTTAAATTATTGTTGAATTTATGTGAATATTGATACAAATTCATTGAAAAATACACGACAAAAACAATACATATGTTAGCATAATATGATTGAATAGCTTTTACTCTTATTTGGATAAATAATTTAATCAATTATTCTTTTGAAATGAATATTACTTTTCCATTGTATAAAAATTTTTGACAAAAACCATCAAATTGTATACCTGTTTATTAGTGGAAGTAAATTAACATTAAAACAATTTCAAATTCATTAATCTCTTTTGTAGATATAACTAATGAAAACACATATTATTATTATTATTATTAAAACGAGATTCTGTTAACATTTTAGGACATAATGAACTTTTAAAGTATTTCCTTCACAATTCATCATTAAATTAAATTGAAATTGAAAACCCTTTTGAGTTTTATTATTAGTGATATTATAATGTATATTACTTTTACTGTATGATTATTATTACTGATTTTCAGTATTGGCACAACAAAAGCAAACAGATATTACAATTAATTTAATATTTTAAAATTAGTTTTATTCCAATAAAATATTTAAAGCAATTAAAAAACAAATTTTAAAATAATTTTGTGTTTTATCGGGAAATTCATTCAATTATATCAATTAATTATCAAACAATGCGTTAATAAAAAAGGAGTTTAAAGTAATATTTTTATATAATTTACGCAAATTGTTTGAATTTTTGATTTATTGAATGATTGATTATTATTATAATTATTATTAAAATAATTGTGATTAACAAATGATTTATTATGTGCTAACTTTTTCTCAAGACTTTAGTACTATTGTGTGTCTTTTGGATCTATTGCTATGATATCTCAAAACAATTACAAATAAAAAATTACAAACAAAACAAATACTTTTTTGATGACATCTCACACAACAAGTCTTTTTTCAAATATTTAATTTAAGTTTAATTCTTGTGATCTTTTTGGACAAAACAAATTGTTTACTACTTGTAGTGTTCAATAATACCAACTCCTATACATATATAGACCATTCAGTTTGTATTATTGACTATAAATACTCAAATAAGTCAAGTTTTAATACCAAACTTGCAATTAATTGATTTTTGTTTCAAATAAAACATTAATTTAAAAACTGATTCATTGTTTTGTATTTATTTCTACAATTAAACAATAGCTTGATTTCAGCGTTTAATTAAAAAAATTGTTTCATTAATAAAACATTTGGGGAAAGGATTTAGTCGTAATCCAACTATAAATGTATTGAGAAATAAATGTTATATATTTAGTAAATTTTAGTTTTTAGTTTAAAGTTAAAAATTTATTACATAAATGTCTTCTCTGGTTATATGGGATTAGCTTTCAGTTCTCCCTTCAAATACTATTAAAAATGTTTATGTAAATTGTGTTTTTGTATAAACCACTGATATTTTTAACAGCAATTTATATCTGAAAACAACAATTTTCACAAAATATCAAACATTTTATTAAATTTAGGAATTATTTATTAGAAGAGAGAAAAGTAGAAATAAATTTTGTTGAATAAACATAAAAACAAATTACAAAATCTAAACTATATTTTTGGAAACACATCAAAGGATTTCGATATTTGAATATTATTTTTGCGAAAAATCAATTCAATTACTATAAAAATTTTTAAATAAATAAATATTTCAATACTTTTCCAAAAAATATTCTCAATTTAATGGCAATAAGAAGTGAATTATTATTCTGAATAAGCATTAAAATAACATTATTTGCGAATCAAAACTATCGCTAAAAATCATTTTCGCATACATTATAATATAAACGATATATTTATGGAAATAATAGGCTATTAATAATAGAAGTTTGAGATGACTATCGATTCTTTGAGCCAAAATGTGAGTCAACAGTAAATATTTTGAAAGATTAGATTAGATTATTATTACTACTATTGAAAGTTACTATACATTCAAATGCAATGAGAGATTTTTGATGTTTGAATCCCGGAGCCGATGAGTGCATACATTTTGATTGATTATTATTACTATTGGAAAAGGGATTTGAGGGCAAAATAGGTCACTAAATGTTATGTTCATAATTGTATATGAGATTAATGCAAAATTTATGTAATCAGTCAGAGGGACACGTGCCGACATGATTTGCACATCCGGTACACCATTTATGATCATAGCTTACGATGCTTTCCGATGCCCTCCTCTCTCTCCTCATTATCTCTGCAATAGAGCCTAAAAGACAACGAATTAAATGTCGAAAATTATCTTTTTTTTAAACTGAAAATTTTATGACAATAA